GGGGTTAATTATTCACTGGGTTTTAATTTAGCTTTATTTCACCGACTGGAAAATGCGCTAAATTAAAACCCAGTGAATATGTAAAATTTAGCATAGAACACATTATCTAAATGATAAAACCGTGAATTTAAAACCTATTGAATATGCCTGAAATGGTAAATCAGCGAAATTTAAACCCAGTGAAAATTAGTCATTTTACAGTATCAATTAATAAAAGTATACTTGAGTATATCAATTAATAAGAGTGTAATACAGTATATCAATTAGTAAAAGTACAATAGAGTATATCAATTAGTAAAAGTACAATAGAGTATATAAATTAGTAAAAGTACAATTGAGTATATCATTTAGTAAAAGTACAATAGAGTATATCAATTAGTAAAAGTACAATAGAGTATATCAATTAATAAAAGTACAATAGAGTATATCAATTAATAAAGTACAATAGAGTATATCAATTAATAAAAGTATAATAGAGTATATTATTTAATAAAAGTACAATAGAGTATATCAATTAATAAAAGTACAATAGAGTATATCAATTAATAAAAGTACAAGAGAGTATATCATTTAATAAAAGTACAATAGAGTATATCAATTATTAAAGTACAATAGAGTATATCATTTAATAAAGTACAATAGAGTATATCAATTAATAAAAGTACAATAGAGTATATCAATTAATAAAAGTATAATAGAGTATATCAATTAGTAAAAGTACAATAGAGTATATCAATTAATAAAAGTACAATAGAGTATATCAATTAGTAAAAGTACAATAGAGTATATCATTTAATAAAGGTACAATAGAGTATATCATTTAATAAAAGTACAATAGAGTATATCAATTAATAAAAGTATAATAGAGTATATCATTTAATAAAAGTACAATAGAGTATATCAATTAATAAAAGTACAATAGAGTATATCATTTAATAAAGGTACAATAGAGTATATCAATTAATAAAAGTACAATAGAGTATATCAATTAATAAGAGTGTAATAGAGTATATCAATTATTAAAAGTACAATAGAGTATATCAATTACCTTAGTACAAGTATGAGCTATAACACAATGATTATATATGTGATAGATATTTTAACATCATATTGCAGTACGTTATAATATTCCTACCCTAGTACTTTCCCTAAATTTTCTAACAAGAATTAAAAGTTTTTTGTTTAATCTTTTTAGGCTGTATTATCTATATCATCATTGGATATTGAGATGGATAATATATTTTTTCATTGCAATTATCCTAAGTTTAGCATTGTTCGAATATCCAGCTGCTACTGACGTGATGTTACCATACTGGGTAAGTATTGAAATATCACTATGATGAACACACAGTACATCTATTATTTCGTTTTTTATTAGCTCCACTGTTGACTTAGTCAAGCGGAGCTTATCATATGAGTGATTGTCCATCGGCGTTCGTCCTCCGTCATCCGTCGTCATCCCTGTCAACTTTTTAGCTCTGCTGTCGACTTTGTCGAGCGGAGCTTATCATATGAGTGATTGTCCGTCGTCGTCCGGTGTCGTCCTCCGTCGTCCGTGTCAATGTTTTACTTTTTAGCTCCGCTGTCGACTTTGTCGAGCGGAGGCTATCATATGAGTGATTGTCCGGCGGCGTCCGGCGTCCGGCGTTCGTGTCAATGTTTTACTTATTCGACTTCTTCTTGAAAACTACAAGCCTGAATGCTTTGATACTTGGTGTATATGTACCTTGGGTAGACCTCTCTCAGATTTGTTCATTTCATGATCATATCTTCAATTTTCTAATTTTGCTGAATATTTTTGTAATTTTTGGTAAAAAGTGATATTTTCGACTTCTTGTTAAAAACCAAAAATTCAATTGCTTTCATATTACATATATAAATACTACATGTAGACCTTTCTCAGATTTGTTCATTTTGTGATGATATCTTCAAGTCTCTAATTTTGGTGAATATTTTTGTCATTTTTGGTAAAAAGTGATATTTTTTCGACTTTTTGTTAAAAACTGTAAGTCCGATTGCTTTGATATTACATATATAGGTACTACATGTGGACCTCTCTCAGATTTGTTCATTTTGTGATGATATCTTCAATTCTCTAATTTTGGTGAATATTTTTGTAATTTTTGGTAAAAAGTGATGTTTTCGACTTCTTGTTAAAAACCAAAAATTCAATTGCTTTGATATTACATATATAGATACTACATGTAGACCTTTCTCAGATTTGTTCATTTTGTGATGATATCTTCAATTCTCTTACTTTTGGTGAATATTTTTGTCATTTTTGATAGAAAGTGATATTTTCGTCTTCTTGTTAAAAAATGTAAGTCCGATTGCTTTGATACTATACATATTGTTCATTTTCTAATGATGTCTTCAGTTCTTTAATTGAAATGTGCATTGCTAACAGCGGAGCTATCTCAGCTGATAGGCTGCTTGTTACTTTTTCAACTTCTTGAAAACTGTATGTATATACCTTGCGATTTTATATTTGTTTATTTCATGATAATATCTTCAATTCTCTAATTTTGGTGAATATTTTTGTAATTTTTGGTAAAAAGTGATATTTTCGACTTCTTGTTAAAAACCACAAGTCTTATTGCTTTGATATTATACATATAGGTACTACATGTGGACTGCTCCCAGATTTGTTCACTTCGGGATGATATCTTTGATTCTCTAATTTTGAGAAGTGTATTATAAACTTTTACAATAGGCTCCTTGGCAGAGATAGTATGTCATATTTCAAATTGTAGGCTGGGGATATATACTGAAAAAATAATATATTGTTAATGATGGGGTTCTTTTTGTAATGATGCACCATATGTTTCAATTGATTTTAGCAAACTTGTTAGGATACAAAATAACAAACTGAACTGTTGTCATTTTTGTAGTCCACGATGATGCTAGAATTAGTATGTATTGCAGCATTCATTGGCCGATTAGTTCACTCAAAACTATTTACATCTGGCGTTATTTGGTGGAGTGACTGGAAGAATCTTACGGTCATTATAGCTATAGCTGTAAGTAAATATATTTGTTTATGTATACTTATTTATAAATTACTACTATGGTATATTCCAACACAGTTTAATGTCTCATAATGCTATGATTTTCTTTTTCATTCTTCCTGTTTCTAGTTAACGTTCGTAGATATGGTGTTATATATAGTTTTCACAGAAAATGGTATTTACATGGTGAGATGGTCTCGTCTTTTTCGTCCACTTTACTTAATCAACATCACTCACAACAGACAGGTTGGTATCAATCAAAACACAGGCTCTGCTTTTGTTTTTGTATTCATTAGCAACCAATCAGAAGCTTTGAAAGACAAATACAAGAGAATTGATGTCTTGGAAAACAAGCCATGCATGGCACAGTCCCCGTTAGTTATCGAATTTAAGTATATAGTTGATAAGATATATATATGTCAGGAATATGATTATGATGATTGTTCAAACATTATAATGATTGACATTTGTATCTTATCGTCAAATGAGTATTGCGAAATATTGCTCCGGAACAGCATTAATTCAAACAAAATCAGCCATTTTGAATACATGTATAATGAATATATGAAATTCGAACATAATCAGTCAAAGCATGTCAGAGATATGGCTCTAGAAGCCAATTCATTAAAACAAATTGGCCGCTAGTCAGCTATTCTGAATTCAATCTGAAAAATAAAATGACGTGCATCAGGAACCGTAATGTCTAATGCATGTACCAAGTTTGAACAAAAGCCATCCATAAATGGCAGAAATGCTTGATATTTGATGATTTTTTAGCACAAAAATGGCCACCATTCGGCCATTTTTAATAGGGTCATCAAACTATATATATATATATCTATAACATGATGTATAATCAATATTTAAAATTTGAACATAATCAGTCAAGGCAAGTCAGAGATATGGCACTAGAAGCACACTCATTAAAACAAAATGGCAGCCAGTCGGCCATTTTGAATCTTATCTGAAAAAACAAAATGATATGCATCAAGGTCCTATAATGTTCAATGTATATACCATGTTTGAACAAAATGCATCAGTAAACAGCCCAAAAATGCTTGATTTTGATGATTTTTTAGCACAAAAATAGCCACCATTCGGCCATCTTGAATCAGATCGTGAAACAAATTGATGTGCATATGTATAATATCATGTATGATGTATGTGTGAAGTTTGATTGTGATTGGTCCTGGCAATACTAAGATAAAGGTCCGGACGCACACACGCATGCACGCACACACGAACACACGGACGCATGGAGGTCAAAACATAAGTCCATGTTTTCGGACTGCGTCCGAACGAGGACTAATAAAAAAAATAGTGGAGATGCCATTGGTTCATAGAATAGGCATCCATGATTACTTTCAAGACAATTTTTTCTCATGAACTCTATAGACTATTTGTGATGTATATTGCTGTCTCTCTCTTCTAGATGCGGCGTGCCTTTCGTAATATTCGAAGAACTCTTCCTGATATTTGTGTAGTTTTGATCTTATATCTTTTATTAGTTGCTTTATTTGCTTTAATGGCACTCAAGATGTTTGAAAATAGGTAAGTTCACATAATATAAATAGGTCACATGGTGTCAGGTTAGCTTTGGAAAGCATGTTATTGTATTCATGTTTGTGTTACTGTAAACCAATTAATTATTCACTAAGTTTTAATTTTGCTTTTTTTGCTGATGAGTAAAATTCACTAAATTAAATCTACATGAAAAAGTAAAATAACAATAAACACATTGTTTCCTTGATAAATTTGTGAAATTAAAACACAGTAAATATGCTCAAAACATCAAAATAATGTCAGTGAAAATAAATCGTTTGAAAGTATTAACTCTCAGATATATATTCATTATAATTCCCTGATTCAAGGTTTCCAATACCCTCGGTATACTGAGTTCGTTCTAAGTCTTTGTCTTCTGTGATGACTTATAATAAGGTTACACAAAATCCTTTTTTTTTTAAATTTTAGAAATTTGAAACACAGAAGTGGTGAACCTTACATGTCTGATTACTGGGATAATTACTATGCATTGTACATATATGTGACTACAGCCAATAGTCCCGATGTTATGTGAGTAAACCTCATCCAATGTTAATTAACCTTTTTACCACCAGACTTTCTTATCCAATTTTTCTGCACTTTTTAGCTTCGCTGTCGACTTTGTCTACCGGAGCTTATCATATGAGTGATTGTCCGTCTTTGTCCATGTCAATGTTTTACTTTTTCGACTTCTTCTTGAAAACTACAAACCTGATTGCTTTGATACTTGGTTTATATGTACCTTGGGTAGACCTCTCTCAGATTTGTTCAATTTATAATGAAATCTTTAGTTCTAATTTTGATGCATATTTTTGTCATTTTTGGTGAAAAGTGATATTTTTGAATTCTTGTTGAAAACAGCAAGTCTACACATTGTTCATTTTCTAATGTTATCTTCTGTTCTTTAATTGAAATGTGCATCGCTAACAGCAGAGCTATCTCAGCCGACAGACTGCTTGTTTCTTTATTTCTTCAATATTTGTGGGAATGAACCTTAATTTTGGAGCCAACAGACAAATTTTGATTCAATTTTCAGTTTTTACTTAAAACATTTGGCTATTTTTTATTTGTTCCAAACTTCGTTTGGAAAGTGCAGACTATAAACAGGACTATTTTGTGAATTTGTGATAAAAAAAGGGAACTGGTTGTAAAAAAAGTTAAAATCACTTTGAATTCCATTTACCTGTATCATTGTCTCAAACTACATTTAAAAGCCATGTTGTAAGATCTTGGCATGTGCTGTATATTTGAATTGCTCATGTTTATAGAAAGATCAATACTGTAGTTGCATTCACATTTTTTCACTCGACTTGTGCCAACTCATGCCCTTATTCATTGATCTGTTAATTGATCAAAACAAGTTTTGTGATGATGAACATGTTCACTGCTACTACTATTTAGTAATAGGGAATGTCTTCTTCTTTCTAGATATTGTTTTTTATTGTATATTTGATAATTTGTTTATTTTTTTTCAGGATGCCTGCATATGACCACAACTACTGGTTTTGTTTATTTTTTATTGCATATTTGATAATTTGTTATTACATATTCATGAGTGTTATTTTAGCCGTCATTTACAACAATTACAGAAAACACCTCAAGGTATGAATTGGTCTTGGTACAGAGAAAATGTTGGAGACTTTTCACATTTGAGTAATTTTTATGAAATATAAATGAAGTATCAGTTTCCCATACAGTTACTTTTACAGAGCCAGATTCTTATCCAATCTGATTAAAATCCGATGTAGGTATGAGGCTCCAATTTTTTTTTTTTTTAATATTTTTTTCTTTTTTTTATATATAACCCTTTATATTATATTTATTTGTATTTTAGTTTGAATAAGTCGATTTTTTTGGTTTTTCTTGCCGTTAATCAGTTCTTAGAAAATTGTGTCCCACTCGCCTCTAACTTGTAATAATGATTACGGTACTCATGTGGTTTGGTGTCCGTATATTATTGAATATAAACTGAAAGAGCTCCATTTATGATATTACATCAGTTTCAAATGCACATGAATATTGAACGACATACAAAACAAATATTAATCATGTTATTTGTGTTGTGTTCACACAAATTTATAAACAATATCGGCTAAAACATTAAGAGACTTGGACCTCTATGATGCTGTTTACAGTTTTAATTTTTCATTCTATTGCAGACAGAAGTGAAAAAATCTGTTTTCCAAAGGAGGCGTCTACTTTCTAAAGCATTTAATATTCTTAAAGTCAAGATCAATGGTTGTTTTGTTTGCACTATGGGTCATTTTCAAGCTATCATGAAGCATGTCTGCCCAAAAGCAAGTCCAGATCGAATAAATCTGCTATGGAACGTTCTAGATGAACTTGATAATAAATATATAAGTATGAGATTTATTTACTTTTAAATTTTGTTTGTTCTTGTTGATATATCAATTATATTTATGAACATATACTTTTGTTTTTATTAACTTATACTTTCGTTTTTAAACATTATGTCTATAGAGGGCGCTGCACTTTTACAATCATTAAAGTTTAATATGTTCTACATGTGTATTCACAGAAAAGAAGGAATTTCTAAAATTGTACGATCTATTGAATGTACCTCTTCTGGAAGAAAAAGATCAAAAAACATTTCTAGAGAGAACTGTGCCATCTTTCTATTTATCTAGACCGAGCCTTTTCATTCAACGTATGGTGGTACACAAGTGAGTACGAATATCTAACTTTAAACACGCGAATCACTGACATTTGTCTGTTGCGGTAGAATGTTATGTGTCATTCAATGTTCTGAGAATGAAAAAAATGAGGGGAAAAAAGTGTTACAAAATTAAGAAATTGAACACAAGTCATCAACTTTTGTTTGCTGTCTCAAAAAAAGGGCAATAATGAACAATTTTGGAATCCACAATTCATAAAAACAATCAGATTTATCAGAACATACCAAGATTTTTCATCTCATATTAAGTAACAAGATTTTGTTACCATTGGTGAACTTTAATATTTGACACTGCATGTACAATGACTCTGACTATGGTTTTATGTTTCAGAGCTTTCCATTGGGTGTTTGATGCACTTATTATCATTAATGCTGTGTTTATAGCATTTAGCATTGAGGAATCGGAATGGTTCTTCCTGACAATCTTCTCCATAGAAATCTTTCTAAAACTTTACACTATGGGACACAAGGAGTTCTTCCGCAGAGCTTGGAATATGTGAGTAGTTTTTTTCTGTGAATACAGTATTTGTAATTTTATAGTGTAACCTACAGTTACATAACAGCATTCTTTTGTTTGTTACAGGACTGTATTTTAAGAAAACTGGCCTCATAATTTTTCAAAAATCAATATTTTTTAAGAAATTTTGTCACTTTTTGAAAAAATCAGCTTTTTGAAATAATTCAGATATGGTATATTATCTCCACCATAGGAACCAATGGTAAAAACATTATGATACTGACAAAATAGTCGTCATTCACTAATTAAAGTGAAAATTATTATTTTCCCGAAAAATAGGATGTGACCCTAAACTTTCATAAAAGGCGGTGGTCGTCACGCCACGCATGCCTAAGATATGGGTCTCCGGCATATGAACAAAGATGGCGACTTTGACTGTTGCATAGACCAACATGTAAAAACTTTACCACACGCTAACTAGGTAATGTTGTTGCTGAGGAGCCACCGACTTTAATTAGTGCACATCACGCCAAGGTCAAAAATTATACTCATGATTTCCAGTAAAAGAGTGCTTTGGATTGTTGGATATTCAATGTTTATCAACAAAAATGTCACACATGCGTGGCACGACGACCACCACTTATTTTGATATATACTTATTTTGATCGTAGTACAATTTATTGCAAAATTATTCTGGGGATTTCAGTTATGAGTTGACTTCTACTATAAAGATGCATTATGGGTAAAAACATATACTGTAAAATACTTTAATTTTAGCTGAAATTAATTTTCGCTGAAAAGACTTTTTAAGTGTTTTGTATGGAATTTATTTTCACCGATTTTTGACGAGTTGAATAAAAAATATAGAAAAAAAGGTATATTCGCTGGATTTTATTTTCACTGAATCATTCCTTCAGCGAAAATAACCAAAATGAAGTGTTGTACAGTATTCTACAGTACTGTAGACCAATATGAACTATGATTTATCATTTACAAAACATAAAACAATATTCACTAGATGAAAAATTAAGACCACTTATTGGAGATGCATGATAAATACATGCTTTTACCTGAATGAATGTACATCTACATATTTTCTGCTACTGTGAAACACAATAGTTATATATGACTGTGTAAAAACATTATGTTAATTAATTTTCTTGTTAATTCTCTTACTTTTCTTTCTTTAGATTTGACTTTATAGTCATATTTTCTGCTGTCATCTTGAGTTTTGTCCAACTATTAAGAACCGAAAGTGGTTAGTTACAATCTACTAAACATTCCCAATAAACATTTCTGAGTAAAAATGTTGAATTTTTTATATTGTATTTTATTCACTTAATTTTGATGTAACAATATTACCGGTACAATCTAAGGAAGTGTAAATCAAGTTAACATTTATAAATTTTTTTTACCCATTTTCTCAAATTAATCTGATCAAACTATATATCTACATCTGACAAAATAAGTTTACAAGTTGCGTTCAAGCAGCTTTCTTCTAATTAGAGTGAGTCATAGCCCATAGCACAAGTTCTGATTCTACTCTGAATACGACTTGCATAGAAGTTGTGGTGTGATATCTTCTACAGCGTCTTGAGCCTCTACTTACATCCATTTTTAATCACATTGGTCACACACATACATTTATTATATTTCTTTTATTCACCTGTGTAGCATTAGTGGCTGAACAGACGCTAGATGTGCTTATGGTGCTTCGTGTTATGAGATTGTTCAAACCATTAGGCAATCTAAAACAGTGAGTTAATATCCAGTTATGCTAACGCATAAATCTTTATCACAACATTCATTTCAACATTTTGTGTAATATTCAATGTTCAGTTACATAATCAATATTTTGACCATTTTTGGACATTTTTTTCAACCATTATATACTAGAATGACTTTTAATTGTGTACAAAGACAATACACACAATATCAAAGAAAGCTTAGAAATAACTCCCGTGTGCTGGGAGTATTAGAGACACAGTAAAAATTAATTCAAAATTACTTTTACTTGAGATATTGATGGAAAAGCTGAAAACTAATTATGCAAATCAGAAAATTAAAATGAACAGAGTGTAAAACTAATAAGGTCTGCGCAATGTAACAGACCATCTATGTACCAAGTTTAATTGAAATGTGATCAGAACCAAATAATTATGAATTATTATGCTAATTAGGTAATTTATATGAACAGATTTCAACCCAAAACTGATCATATTTGTACATTGTCCTAGAGCATTATGTACAAAGTTTTATTTAAAGGTTATGATTAGTACTCGAAATATCAGTGAAAAAGCTGAAAATTAAATAATTATGCAAATAAGTTAATTAATATGCACAATTATTTACCCCAAAACTAATCAGATTTCTGCATAGTCTAGGAGGATCTATGTACCTAGTTTCATTGAAATGTGATGATTAGTACTTGAGATATACATGAAAATCCGAAAATTTACTAATTATGCAAATTAGGTGATTAATATACACAAATATTTATCCCAAAACAATCGCTCTCTGCATAGTCCTTGAGTAACTATGTACCATATTTTATTGAAATGTAATGCTTACTACTTGAAATATCAAAAGCTGAAAATTAATTTATTATGCAAATTAGGTAATTAATATGTACTGATATCACCCTAAAAACTACTAGGTCTGTGCAGTGTCCTATGAGATCTAGGTACCAAGTTTCATTGAAATGTGATGATTAGTAGTTGAGATATCAGTGAAAAAGCCGAAAATGTACTAATCATTATGCAAATTAGGTAATTAATATGCACGAATTTTTACTAAAACTAATCAAATCTGCGCATAAGTTCAGAGCATCTATGTTCCAAGTTTCATCAAAATTCAACGAGAGGTTCTTTAGATATCAGTGGAACAGTCATGGAACAGCTAAAAATGAGCTAATTATCATGCACATTAGGTAATTAATATGTATGGATTTTTACCAAAACCTAATCAAATCTGCGCATTGGCCCAGAGCATCTATGCACCAAGTTTCATCGAAAACCGATGCATGGTACTTGAGATAGCAGTGGAACAGATGGACACACACACCAGTG